AATAAAATTTTTAATTTAACAATTAATTTTTAAAAATATAAATTAAAAAATAAAATTTTAAATATATCTTTTTAAAAAGTTTTAAAAAATAACATATAAAATATTTTGTATAATATTTTGTTAAAAAAGCTTTAATTATTAATATATATTTATTTAATAATATTAAATTTTATACAATCTGCTTGTGTCTACTTCAATTAAAAATTTAATTTTTAATTGTACGCTAAAAAAAAGGTTGCAAAACACTTTTGGCTAATGTAATGAAATTTATTTATTTTCCTTTTTTCACATTTTTATTTTCAATTCTCTGAAAAGTTCTGATTAGCCAGCAAATTTCCGATCCCCTATACAGTTACTCGCCGGACCTGGAGATCTCGACGAAGAGAATCGATCAATTCAACGGAATCCTGATATGGTAAAACCCTAACTCGGAGATTGCTTTCGTCTCAAAACTCCTGTAATTTTTTTTTTCTTGAAGGTGGATTTTGTTTCGATTTTCAGTCGGCGCTTTTCAATTTCCATTCGTTTCTAACCGTTGTGTTATTGGGAATTTGCACTTGCACTTATTTGAAGATGCAATTTCCGGCAATCCTTGAGCAGAGAACTGGGTATGTGGTTGCTGAAAATTTAGAACTTTGATGTTCTCACGTTCAGTTTGGGTGTTAATCTGTTCTTATGTTATGAAACTCTTTTTGTTAAATTTCTTTGATTCTGAATCTATGTATGGGAATTTACAAGATGTGTGATGAATTCTAGATTCTAAGTAGCCTGTTTTCTTATATTGCCTTCTGTGCCGTTGGTTGTTTTACATGCATGTGGAAGTATGTGTTTAGCATTTTCAAGGTCATTGCTGCAACTGATGATATTGAGCATGCCTTCATCTGATGATGGCATTTTGCATACTCAACTGTATAGGTTTGTGATATTGTATGTGTTCCAGCTTATGCATAATTTATTATTTTGTGGGGTGGGGGGTGCAAGACACCCTCCTGGCCGGAGGGATTGAAGAAAATTCCATAAGATGGCCATTGTTGGGTGGGTTCCCCATATTTGGGTTACACTCCTGCTTTGTTATGTTGGCAAATCCCAGGTGAATGAACTGAAAGGAAATGGGGTAAAAAAGATGAATGAGGAAGATTCCTGCAACTGCAAGTTTATTTGGATTTTTGCCTTAGAGTGTTCAAATGACTTTTTCATTTTAGTGTGTCTGTGTTGGAGGTGCTATACTGTTATCTAGCTTTGAGAATGGGTGGTAATGGCTGTAATCTGCTTTTTTGACAGGTTTCGTGGTTTCTTTTGGAAGGCAGCCAGAATAGGTAAATATTTCTGCCTGCTTTAGCTCTTAATTGGATGTTGTTGGAATTGCCAAATTGGTCTATTAGTTTCCTATAACTTCACTGCAATTTGGATTGCTTGCTAATTGGTATTTCGCCATGAGGCTTTGAATTATTGAGGCTGTCAATGTAAAAGTAATTTATTGCCTATGTTACCTT